ATGTTGAATACTAAACCTGTTTTTCTTTTAAAGCTTCTTGCAAGGATAGAACTCCACTAGAGCTCCGACAAAATCTAGACAACCTGTGGCTGGCAGCAGAAAAAGTCTCTTGGGAAGAGGAAATATTCATTTGTTGAGCAGGTTTGGCTCCAGCATTTTCTGGTGCAGCAGGCACAGGCAGAGTGTCTTCCACAGTGAGATTTTGCCCAGTACTCTTTGCTGCCTCAGGATGGGGCCCAGCATCTTCCCCAGTGTTTGAATTTTCATTATTAGCTTCTTGTACACCTTCCATTCTGAAATATGCCAAAAAGCGAGTGTTTGTAACAATTCACATTTTTCAAGACTAACTTTTCAAGAGGACTGTTAGGAATGGAAATGCAGGGAATAAAAGAAAGGAAAATGAGAGCATCTCAAAACTGACTTGCCAGGTATACAAACTTAACAGTCTCATCAAGTCCTCTCTGAGTTGTTAAGAAGCATTTATATATACTTTTTGATAGTTCACAAATGTCATACTGAAGATCATTACAGACAGATTTTTAAAATTAATTTACCATACAATTACATCTTGAGGAGCAAGTAGCGACATAATAATAAACTATTAATACTTTTACTGTATATCTGATTACTGAGAACCTGAAGTGGTTTAAATATAAATGTTTTATTTATATGTTAAGTTGTAAAATATGCACACATACTCAGCAAATGAGCTTACATAGAGGCTCGTATAGACTTCCAAATCAAGTCTTAAAGCATTGCTCCCATAAGCATTTACTCATTCTTTTTATAAAATACGCCCCACCATGCATAATATCCTTAACAAGTCTAAGTGTTTGCAGATATAATTTCAGATGGAGGGTATGGGTAGTATTTTTTCAGCAGAAGCACTTTTATTAAATAGAGACATAGTAAAACTACAAGCTTTATCTTGATTTAAATTAGTACAAAAAAGAAAAAAAAAAAAAAAAAAAAAAGATTTTTTGTCATTGAAAACTTATCAAGAGAGTAATAACACCCAAGACTGCACAGTTTTCTAATGTTACCAGCAATGTCCTAAAAAATATAATGACTGGCAACCTCTTTGCACAATGACATTTTTAAAGTTTTACACAGTACATTAAAAGTTACTAGAGCACTGAGCACATCAAGAAATTTTCATCACAGTGCAAAAGTCAGACTTTCTCTTAATTCTGTGACTAACCCCAGATGCCTAAAATACTAGCGGGTTAATCATTCTTAGATGAGGATTTCTAAAACGGTCCAAAACAAAATATATTCATGGATGACAGCTAAGCAGTTGGCTGCTATACAAAGGCGGCCCTGCCATTTTCTTCCCTTTTCTACTCCACTACATCAAAAGCCCAATAAAGGTTTGGTTTGTGAATCCCAAGCCTGTAATTCATGGCTACAAAGAAGCATCTAAATCGTCTTTCCCTGTTTTCCTATTAGGAAGCATGCTCATCTGCTTGCATTTGCCAGCTGCCATCAGTCCTTTTCAGTCAATCTTAACATTCTTAAATACACAGATAATTGTTTTGTTCAGTCACCTCAGTTCTACACATGGATTCAACAACTAGTTTTAAGGAACTGTAACCATCAGTAGAGCTCCACCTGAAGTCATCATCTTGTGGCTAGTTTAGTCCTCTAAAAATAGCTTGTTCAGCCACATGGGGAAGTCATAATGGATAATTTTTTGCAGAAACCCGTATAAACACGCAGGGTAACAGAAAAAAAGAAAAACATGGAAATTGCCATTCTACTCAGTGTACTATTACCATGAAGATTAAAATAAATATCACAAATTACCTAGTATTTCATATGACGGACGGCTTTAGACAGCCAATCACAGTTATAACTGTGTGTTAAATGCTCTTAGACACCATTGCCAGCTTTAGGAAATAGAAAATTAGGCTGACATGAAAAGTAATGATGGTTTTACATTACTAGCTCCTTATTTTTGCCCGTGATTTGCAAAGTAGCCAGTGTTCTGTGGACTTTGGCAGGTAATCATCTCTTACAGAAAATATTATCTTTCCTGAAGTAAAAGTACTAGGGAAAAAACACATTAGGAAAAGTCACAAAAGTCACACACACGCTCCAAAAAAAAACCAACCAACAAATCAAACCAAACCACCACCACCAACAAAACACAAAACAAACAAACAACAACAGAAAACAAACAAACAAACAAACAAAAAAACACTTAAAATGTAAAGTCTAAATTTATTAATAACTTTATTTTCCTCTATATTAATCTGACTGGGCTGGACATCTATAAGGTCAGCAGTGGCACTTTTGTCTTTGAAACTCAGGTTGGATGTTAATTTCTTTGCCTTTTGCCATTGTACCATTGTACATGTATCATTGTACCATGATGTTGATACTTTAACCTAAACTTCAAGATTAGAGAGATGGGTTCTCACAGCTTTCTTTAGAAACAAAGACTACATTGTATACTAGCATCCTCCCTCACTCTTCAAACATATACGCACAAGTTGTCTGGTGTCTAGGCTGAGATTTTCAGAATCTCAGCATGAGAAGAGCATGATCTTCAGATGAAAACAGCAGTGAACTCCAGCTGACTACGTATCCCAGTTATAACAGTAGATGTTCTTTTATGTTCAAACTTTCTTTTCCTACTCTCCAGATGCCCTAAACCTTGTCTACAGGGCCTATTCATGCAAAACAAATGAATAGTGAGCCTAGTTTCCAGCACCATCTTTTATGTACAGTTGAAGTATAGCATAAACCAACAAATTCATTCTTTCCACTTTTCCTTGGAACTCAAATCCAAGATTTAGTATCCTACATCATTCCAAACACTGGCAGCATTTCTCTCCCTCTTTCTCAAAAGTTTTAGCAAAGGGATAGCAGTCATTCTCTGGTTTTGATAGCAGCTTGAAGAATGTTATTTGAATTTTCTTATTTTTATGCAGAAAATGTTTATGCCTCTCCTCTGAACTCTGAGATTCAGAGATGAGGCACTGCTCTGCCTCTGAAATCTAGGCAAACGTGTAGTCCCCAAGCTTCTGTTTGACAGAATCTGAAGGGGCTACCAGGAGATAGCCCCTGGCCTGTATAGTGTCTTGGTCCTTGCATTTTTTCCCAAATTAGCCAGCAACTACTGACCACTATTAGAGAGGGAACACAAGGGAGAAAGATCATTAGTCTGACATAGTATGGTAGTTCTGCTTTTCTTATGTTCTTAATCCTAGAGCTAAGATCCAACCCAAATGCTTGGTTCATAACAGGTTTTGCCATTAAAATAAATAAATAAATAAACAAACAAACAAACATGATCCCAGCAAATCTGTAGAAAAATGTTGACCAATGCACTAGTTCTTTATAAAATAATAAGATGAAAATGGTGGTACCTTGTTTACCAGTAGCACCAGTCCATCGAAAAGTGATTCTCTCAACTTCTCTCCCAACCCCTTTAGAGCAGCAGCAAGTTGACAGCAGGACTTAGGGAGAGGAAGAAAGAAACAAAATCTCAGTGCTGCTCCATAGCTGCCAAGGTTTCCACAGTCCTTGGGGCAGCCTCACCTTGGGGACCAGCCTAAGGGCAATTCTAAATCTTACAGTTTCAGCAATCAAGTACACTGATGGAGCCAGCCCAAGGGGCTGGGAGCAGGGATACCCGTTAGTGGGATGCCAGGAAAGCCCCACATTGCTCCAGAGGAGCACATCTGAGAAGATGCGGGGAGCAGAAAGGGAAGGAGAAGCCACCCCCCCAAGCACAGAGGAGCAGGGATCCTGATGTGTATCTCTCTCGACAAGCTGAGGTGCCTAAACCAGCACTGCTGGTTCAGCAGAGAGATGTAGGCAGCACCTCACCAGCCTGGCTCCAACTATACCTCACAGCGCGGGGACCGAGAGAGCGACCCCCCGGCAGCACAACCGCCCTGTCGCAGCAGGCTCCCCCCGTTCCGGTCTGCCGTCGCCAGCCTCCGTGCCGGTACTGCGCAAGGTGGCGGCTGCCGTGGGGCCGGCCGTTATGGGGCCGGGCCGTTACCGGGCGCCCGTAACCGCTGCGGGCTCGGCTCGGTTCAGTTCCAGCCACCGCCGCCCTTCAGGGGCCCCCAGCTGCACCTCAGCTCCCAGGAGCTGAACCTTGCCCCTGCCTTCTCCCTGTGGAGAGCACCAAAGGCCTCTGTAAAGGGACTTGCACAGCTTGGTATCATAAAATCAGGGATTTGTTTCATATGCACTACGTGTACTTACTGAACTCAAGAAACGTAACAAGATTTACACAAAGTTTGTGTGCTGCCGTGTTTTTTTTTTTGTTTGTTTGTTTTGTTTGTTTGTTTTTCCCCTTCTTAATTACAAGTGGAAGTTTATGTTGAATATTCAGTTCAGGAAGGAAAAAACTGTTTTCCATTCCTAGCTTTGAAAGATGGGATATTCTTATCTTTTACACCTGAAATAACGGGTTAGCCCAAAGCAGTACTACCTAACTCTAACGGGTAGCAACTACTATCCAAAATGTTCCCTTAGCTTCTGTACTAAAATATGTGAACCACACATTTATAAGCTCACAGTCTAAAGGCATAAAGTCAGATCTTTAAGCCACCTTAACGTGTCATCAGTTGGAGGAATTTACAGAATAAAGCACTGTTTATTGGAGTTATATGTGCAAACCTGCCCAGGGGCTTTTATGGTACCCTCTGCCTGCGATCCAGAGAGGGGCGCTCCTTCACAGCCATGCAGAACACCCGTGCCTCCACATTTGGGGTAATTAACCAGCCGCACGCTGCAGGTTAAAGTTGACTAACATTTAAAAGCACTCGTTTATTAGTATGGCAGAGCCACCAATCCCGCTACCTCAAAAGCGGGACTGGTCGGATTTTTTAATTAAATAAATAAAATAAATAAAATAAATAAATAAATAAATAAATAAAACAAATAAATAAAATAAATAAATAAATAAAATAAATAAGGCGGGGGAAAGCCCTGCCCATCCTCCCTTCGCGGACACCCCCGTAGCACGAAGCCCCGCCACACCTCTGGGGCGGAGCGCTGCCTCCCCCGGGCAGCCTTCATCCTCCCTTCTCCTCCCCTTCTCCCAGCTCCGTGAAATGGCGGCCCCGGCAGAGCCGTGCGGCCTCAGCGATGAGGCAGCCTATGGCGCCTGCTCCGAGCCGGATCCCAGCACCAAGGTGGGGCAGGGCGGCTGGGGAGTGTGGGGGGCACCTCGGGGCTGTGGTAGCGGCGGTGTCCTGCCCCTTTGGAGGGTTGAGGGGCGGCAAGGGAGAGAATTGGGGGCTGTTTTATTAGGGGGAATAGGTAGTGGTATTTAAACTTAGATTCTAAGTCTGTCCCTTGCATGGAGTATGTGTTGAAAATATCTAACTTGCGTTTCATCCACCTAGCTGTTCAGTAGCTCTTCGGTATATAAAGTAATGCTGTGGCTTGAGAAAATACCTTTACAGAATGGTAGGCCAAAATATCGTTGTGCTTGACAGAGATTCAACAACTGTGAAATGAAATCATGAGCTCAGCAGTTTAGCTTCAGTTAAGTTCTGTGTATGTGTGCAGTGTACCAACTGCTAGCGTACCTGCATGCAGGACAGAGCATGTGTAGTACAGCTCCATAAAAAAATAATAAGAAGAATGCTACAAACTTTTGATATTTCTGATTTACATATTGAATGATGCCTGCATTTTTTTTTCTTCTTATAGTACAAAGGTTTGTTTATTTAATACAAAGATGCATCAGTTGTATCAAGAGCAAATATTTTATTTACAGTGGATATAATATTGTATTTGTTACTTCTATACCTGCTGTTTTTAGTTTAATTATTAACTGATTTCTTTGTTAATACGTATTTGTTTCATATATAAAAATAAACTCTTTTCTTTTTTTCCCCCCTCCAGGACTTTTTGTTTCAGCAGACAATGTTAAGAGTAAAGGATCCGAAGAAGTCGCTGGATTTTTATACAAGAATTCTTGGAATGACGTGAGTGGAAGTTGTATGCTACAGTAACTTTGCTTGTACAAACTTCTGTTATTTTGATGTAATTATACTAATTGCTCTAACTACATCAACAATGCTGGCCTATCAGCTAATGCCAAGTTAGATAGTCTGGCAATCTCCAATAATTTCCACAGCACAATTAATGCCGAAGTTACAAATGAGCTAAAATTGGTGTTGGCTAGAACTTTTTTTTTTTTTAAGTAGGTCATTAGTTATCAGTATACAACTTGCTTACTTTCCCCGCACTGATTCTGCAGTTACCAGTTAACTTGTATGACAGTGCTTATGATCAGGAGTCATTGCTATAAATCTTAAAACTTTCTGCTAGTTCTCAGAGTTGGCTGAGAACCACCTCTAAACATAAGAGTCCAGGATGACACAAACTGGTGACAAGGTTCGAATACCTTTTGGAGAAGGGCTGTGAGGAGGCAGATGCCCTGCAGTAGCCTAAGGTGTTTGTGCTAAGACTGTGCACGTTTTTGTCATATGAAAAGAGTTGGTTTTAAAACAACGTTCTAGTTTATTTTTAAACATCCTGAAATTAGTCCAGACTAAGGTAAAATAAAATGCCCCAACTTTAGTGAAGAGGTGTGTGATAGAAATTAAAAAGTAATTAAATGGTAAGCTGAAAAATAAATTAGGTGTGTTTTTGCTTGCTTGCTCTGATCAAACTTCCTATGTAAAAATGATTTGAAGTATGCAACATTCCTAGGAATAAGGGAAAAATAGTGGAGTCTTGTCTAAAGTTCTTTGAAGCTTACAACACTTTGTACGCATCATATGAGATCATTCTTAGCAGTCTTATCTTGTGCAATTTTCTATAGAACAATGATGAGTGTGTATCAAATATGTCACAGTAAAGTGAGTGAATTCTTGCTGTTAGCAAAGGGATAAACCTTATAAGCTGCTTATATAGCAGCTTTTTATGACCTAGGGTATTTTGTAGTTGATTAAGTTATCACATCTGAAATGGCTTTTATGGTTATACCAATCTGTGGAAATAGTAACAAATATTTCATCCATATGTTTATTTTTTTTAACTTGCCTGTGTTTGTAAACTTGGTCTGGTGCCAGCAAGTTCCATGGCATGAGTAAATTTCAAAGTAAATGTTTTCTATTCCATGGTGATACTGTAATGCGGATAAACATAAGGATCTTCCTGAGGAAATACATACCAGTAACAGTGGTGGCCTCAGACTTAAGCCCTTGTATTGACTTTGCTATCCAGTTACTGATGGCTTGGCTTTTAAGCATCTGTTTCTTCTAGTCTTTGGAAGTTTATGATGTGTTCTGGAATGTTTTTACTTGATAGTTCAAAACATAGCTATTTTAGGTGTGGATTGCAGTCAGGCAAAAATTGTGGCAGTAATTCTTCCATGGGGGAAGAATACTGGTTTATTTGCAGGCTACCCAATTATCTTTTTTAGTTACTATTTCAAAATATTTTTTTCCACTTAGACTGCTTCAAAAATTTGACTTCCCTACTATGAAGTTCTCGCTGTTTTTCCTGGGGTACGAGGATAAAAATGATATCCCAAAAGATAAAACTGAGAGAACACCTTGGACCTTCTCTAGAAAAGCTACACTTGAACTGACACAGTAAGTATTAATAGTGAGAGATGACATTTAAGTAATGGTGATTCTGCAGAAGCAGATGACTGTAAGTCCTGTTGGATTGAATGAAAATGCAGTAACTACTGTAGAAACATCTTCACTGTTATATAGCCTTAAAATATGGCTGAGATCTTAGGGACTTAGTCTTCCTCTTTATAGAGCTCTTTCAAACTTCTGGGTGAACAGTGGTATTTAAGTATGAAATAGTATTTGCTGTCTCTTTTGAATATGCATACTCCCTGGGGAGCGATACTGTGGAACTGAGGAAAAATGATGTGGTTAGAACTTCTGGGATCTCTGAAGCATCCTGATAGTTGGGTAACTATTGCTTCTGAAATCTAATCAAAAGAGGTATTAAGTCAAGAAAACAAAACAAACGGGGGGAAAAAAAAACAAACAACACTTTACATGAACAGGGCAATTATGTTAATGCTACTAATGATTGCACAGAAGTGCAGGGAGACTTGTTCTCCTTTGTAATTGGAATGAGATAGGAGTGTCTCTCAAACTCATCCAAATGTAGAACCTGAATATTAGTGTGAACCTGACTGAATTAGCCCTTTGTCTGCTTTGAAGACTCTCTAGGACCTATGATTTGGGAAAATCTTGATAGTTTAATGAATGCAGCCAGCAATTGAAATCTTCTAGTTTTTAGAAGAAACGAACTTCCATGGAAACTGAACATTCAGAACTTGTTGATTTCAATGCTCTTCTTCAATGTATAATAATTACTTCTTACAGCAACTGGGGCACTGAAAATGATGAAAATCAGTCCTATCACAATGGTAATTCGGATCCTCGAGGATTTGGTAGGTCTTCTGTTTAGTGCATCTAATTTTCATGTTTTGTTTTATTGTCATTAGATTTTTACTCTTGTGTATTGGGGAAGTATGGCATTTCAAAGTTCTCTTTTCTTTAGAGAACATCTGTATAACTGAAGTGCAAAAATTATGTATATGCTGTAGGCTTTGTTTTTGTGAGAAATTTTAAAATATTTTAAACTTGTGTGGATGAGAAGACTTTTCTAGTGGTAAATAAGGAAACTTGTCCTTTACATGCTGGAAGAAGCAAGATACACTGTGAAAGATTATGAAAATATGTCAACATGTTTCAGAGTAATGATCCACAGTTGCACTTTTTATATGTCTAATCTTTTGGCAAGCAAACACATTAAGTAGTAACTACTCAATTAAGTGCAATAATTGCTCCTGCATATTGGATTGTGATGTTCAGACTGATTTAAATTCAGATTTCTATTCGGTAATGCACTGATCACCCCTTTTGAGCTACAAGGGGAATTCTGCTCATCTGTAGCACTGAGGATAGTATTCATGTGGCTTGACTTTATTTTGAGCACTTGAAAGGTCACTGGCTTGTGAAATAAGTCTCATACTCAATCTAGCCACTTGACATTTAAAGCTTCTGAACTGATTTGTAAATTCAGGCCTTGCATGGTGCTACTGTTAGTCTCTGCAAATACAGCATTAATGATAAATGCCTTGCACTGTTAACTGAGCAAATGCAACAAAATCCTGTTACGTGGTTGCCTTCTTGAAAAGCAATACACAAAATAGCTTGAGTATCCTATTTCTTTCCTACTCTAGATAATATACTCATCTAAATAATATGAGCTACTTTAAATGTCCTATTTTAAAAGCATTGTCAGAAAGCTAATTTTCTGAAGAAGAATACTGTTAAAATCTGAAATGCTCTTCTTTCTGGAAGCAATAATTTCCTTAGGTATGTCACATCTGAAGTGAACTTTTTGCACAGGATGAAATGCTGAGCAAACTTTTTTCTCAAATACCCAGCAATGCTGAGCGTGTACCTGACTCTTCTTACCCCATTTCACAGGGCACATTGGAATTGCTGTCCCTGATGTCAATAAAGCTTGTAAGAGGTTTGAAGAACTAGGAGTGAAATTTGTGAAGAAACCAGATGATGGTAAGACTTAATCGGGAATGCAAGTAATTTTGCTGTTGTTCCGTGTTCTTAAAATACTAAGTCTGGTAGTTTTGCCTCCTGGAAAGCTCAATATGTCTCTGTGGTTGTCACTCCTTAAAATGTACTGGAACCAATTACCCCTGTTACCTCTTATACAATGGGCAGAACTGACAGTGCAGAACTATACTGTTTGTCTGTTCTTGCATGTTATTCTGTGTCTGCCTGTAGCAACCTGTACCTTGAATATAGATTTCTTATTTTAAAATTTGAACTCAATATTGCTAGGATTTTAGAGTTTCAGAGCCCTTACTTGTTTAGCACCTAATAAAGCTTGAGAGAGTTGATATTTGAGCTCTTTAATTCAGTTCTCTATCACTTCACAGCTCTAAGAATGTAGAAGGAACTTAGACTGTGAGTGGCATAAACTTCTGGAATCAGCTAAGCATGAGGGTAAAAAAAGAGAAAGATGTTTTTAACATTAAAAATTAAAATTGATGCAGCAAGTGCCAGAGAGTAGGAAGAGGCTTGGGGCTTCACATTCACTGTTTATGGGGCAGGCATGAGAGAGTTAATGCCATTTTTTCCCTGTGTTACCAAATCAAACTACTATTCTCAGAAGTTTTTCCTAACTAGAATATAATAGGAATTAGGTTGGTTCTGTTACAGTGAATGGGGTTATAGAGGAAGTAGAACTAAAATTAGGTACTTAACACTTTAAGATAACATGTTAAGCTGTGCTATCCTGATTCACTGTTGAAGAATAATTTTGGCAACCCTGTTGTTGTGAGTAGTATTTTTTTTCCAACAGTTTAAAACTGTACTGCATTTGTCTTACCTAGTGATTCAAGTGTGTATTGTAAACCAGGTCAGGTGTGGGGAACAAACAACTGATAAACAGTACTATACAAAACTTCAGTGTTGAGGCAGGCATGGGAAAAATGCAAGGCAGAGGAACGGAGGATTTTTATTTTTTTTACTAGCAAAGGCAGTTCAAGGAAAATGTATGAAAACATCCCAGAGCACAAAAATGTTTCCCTGATAAATTCAGGAAAATATGAACGTTTACATGGGCAAAGAATCGGGAAAAGAGGAACACTTACAGGGGCAAAAATGTTGATTTGAATCAACAGAATAAGGATTTCAAGGTGACTTTAAACTACAGCTTTACTGATTGTCAGATTGACAACAGCACACAGAGATCTTACTGATTAAAAACTAATCTGGATGTTTTCAGGAATTTGCTGTTTAAATTTGAACTAATACAAAAAAATGTGGAAGAAATGTGGAAGTTCTAGTATTTAAGATTTATAGTCCTGTAGTCTTACCTTTATCTTGTTTCTTTTGGTTGTTTTTTATTTTTTCTCAAATAGGTAAAATGAAAGGACTTGCATTTGTTCAAGATCCTGATGGCTACTGGATTGAAATTCTGAACCCTAAACACATGGTGACTCTCACTTAAATGCACATTTTCAGTTCCCTGGAGAAAATCTACAACAGCATTTGTGGAATTTTTCACTTAATGGAGAGAAATCAACTATGTTCAGAGTCTACTCTAAAACTGTCCCCTGGGACCTCAATGTACTTGAATTCCCTTTTGTTTTCCTGTGATGCCCCTGCAATTTGCTTCCAACTAGGAATCCTCAACTGTCTTTTAGAGGAGCACTGATATGTACTCTGCTCGTGAACATTGATTATGTTAATATTTAACTAAACACTCTCATAAGATAGATTACCAGAAATTCACCTCACTTTACAGTTTTTAGATTTGAACTAAAAGCAAAAAAAAAATAATAATCCTGCATTACTGCTGGTGGTCTTCAACAAGGAGAGAAAGAAACTTTAATAAATTTGTTTGATGAAGTCAAAGGCTTCATACCCTATCTTGTATGGTAGAAAATAAAGTATCTAACTTCTTGCTTTAGTAGTAGCATGTTTATGAAAGTCTTAATCGTACATTATGCCAAGGAAAAGTCTTTAACCACCGTTAAGCAGCCTTGCCTGGAACAAGAAACTTTGTAGATTAGTCCACCAGAAAGAATTCTGTATTTAAACTTCCTGGCTGCTGACTGGGAGACATCATAAGAGATCTCCACAGTGGTCCTTGTAGTGTCTTAACACTAGAAGGAACTTGCTCATAGTTTTTGTTTTGATGCAAGTCTGGGGCTATATTCTTTTTACATGCTGTATATAGTCCTTTATTAGGACTGCAATGAAGAAGAGTACTTGAAATGGCTTCCTATAAGTAGGCATTTTGATTGTTCTCTTTAACTGAGTGACGGTGACTGAAATTATACTTGTAAATGCTACATTTTCCTGCTATTTATATCTGTTACACAAATCATTTCCCTTTACACTGTTCACCTGGTATGAGTAGTGTAAAACATACCAAGCTTTGAAATCCTGATAACAAAACCAAGAAAATCTCTGCATTTACTGTGGTTCAAGTAGCACTTAACTCCTACTCAGTCTTCAACTGTGCAATGGCATTGCCATTCACTTCCAACTATAAAGCATTGATGAAAATTACAAAACTAATTTTAAAGCAGTATGACAAGTTACTTTGGTAGTTGTTGAATCCTAGGTAAACAAAAAGCTATTTGTTTCAGTTTATGGATTTTTTTTTTTTTGGGGGGGGGGGAAGAAACTTGGTCATAAAAGAATAAGTGGGAATACAGCAATGAAAGTAACTGTATGACTTGATTAGCAGGATAATGGCAATGTGCAGAGTTGTTGATAACTTATTCAATAATTCCCTGACCTTTCAGTTAAAAAGTATAGGAGGTACTGCATTTGATTTCTACTATGCTAATCTAGATATTAATGACAAACGTTAAGCGTTATTGTCCAAGAGTAGTCTACAATATTTTGTTTACCTTTGGAAATGAGTAAAAAACATTATGTGCTTCATCTGAGTTTTAATAGCTGTTGGAAAAGAGAATGGGAAATGCATTGCCCTGTTTACTGTCCCCTACAGATGTACAAAAAAAACCACAAATATATTGGAAAGTAGACAGCAACTCTATAAAGATGTTTCCTATATTTTATAAAGCAACCCTAATACTTCAAATTGTCTTTTGTATGATATTTTGTGGATGGTCTCTACTTAAGTAGATAGGGCACTATAGGTAGTGCCCTATAAGTGTTGTTCATAAACCTTCTCCATTCTTGAATGTTTGCCAAGTAGTTGTTTTCTGAAACAGTAAACAGCTTATGCTGTCTGTACTCCTTTATTTCCAGAGCTAATACCTAGCCTGTTCACTGTCATGTTTCTGTGTTGTTTCTTTCATTTTCTTTTATGTTAGGCCCTTCTGATAGGGACAATGTAGTTACCACTGCTTGCAGTGAGATCTTACAGTGAGATCTTAGAAACTGACCTGTCATAATAGCTGTCTCAGTCATCTTCCTCACAAAAGTGGCATGTCTAATGTTGCGCCCAGCCCCAGGCAGGCTACTTCAGTATAATAAATTAGCACTGATGTGCTTAAATGCTGGGTTACTTTTATACCAAGTTTATTAAGCAGAAATGAGAAGCCGGTTCAAGGCTCTGTAGTTTCCTGAACAATTAAATCGGGCTGTTCATTTTAGCAGAAATTTAGGTTGGCTCTGGTGACTCAGGAAACCTCAACCTACTTTAAAAAAAAAAAAAAGTACATGATATTGCAGGATATCTTACAGCGCCAATTAAGAGAATTCTTAATTTGAAGACTATGGTAGTATAGTTTTAGTATGATAAGGTGTCTTTTGAAGTTAGTAGCCAGTTGGATGAGAATATTGCCGAGAAGGAGAGCTACAGCAATGAGATGAGACAAAGCACGCACTTTGCAGCTTACATCTGTTCTGATGGTTAAACTTTCTCATGTATGTACCTTCTCATGCTGGTGTGCTGAAATAGGAACTTAAGATGAAGTAAAACTCACCTGAAGCAGAAGGGCTAACTGCATTTCCTTACCATCCAGAATCTTGCTTTAGATGGTGAGTAGAATAAAATAGGCTAAGAGTAGTCTAAGTGAAGTTGTCTGAAACGAGTTTTATTTTAATCAATACAGATATATCATCTAAAGCTTTGTGACAAAGGTCTGGGCAAGGAAAATCCCTACATTTTACAAGTGTGTAACTTGGGAGTTACATGCTCATAGTTTATCTACATGAAGTATTTCACTCAGAGTTGTGTCATTACAGTTCAAAGTGCAGGTGTGACTGGAAATGCTATTGACAAAACTGTATGGAATCCGGTAATTAAAAGCGGGATAGGTTGTAAGTTGCGTGAATAAGTCAAAGGGTGTGCACATATAGTTCAGTGGTAACTCCATGGGAAGCAGGAGGCTGTGTTGGAGGTTCTCTGCTTAGCACTTAAAGCTTGCTTCATATGTGGCTGCTGATCTTGGGATGACTCTTGAGTTTAATTTATATGCGTGTGTCAGTATAAACAATGCAATAGATAATGAAACAATAAAGAGGATAGCACAAAACCCAATGTAATTGCAGAAATAGCATGAAGTGGGCAAGGTACATTTTTTATTAGAAAAACAAACAAACAAACAACTGCTTCTTGACATATTGTGAACTATTTAAAAGCAGCGGTGTCAGCTATGAAAGCCAAGACGGAGGTGCCCGACCCCACCGCCCGTCCCCTGAGGCGCCCGGGGGTCTCCTCAGCGCCCCACCCGCTTCCCCGGCGGCGGGCGAGCCCCGCGCATGCGCCCCACGGGCGGCCCCGCCTCAGCACGGAGGAGGCCGGCGGCTGTTGCTAAATGACGTCAAGGCGCCCGGTGGCGTCACGACGGCGGCGGGGTGGAGGCCGCTCGGCACCGGGGCCGGTGAGTCCCGGGGGGAGAAAGGGGGCGGCGGGGCCGGGCCGGGACCGGGGGCGCCTCCTGCGTGCGGAGCGCCGGGGCCGTGCCCTCAGCGGGGCCTGCCCGTGGCTCGTCGAGCGGCCGCGCGCCTCCCAGGGCTCCGCTCTGGCTTTTTATCCCCCCTCCCGGTAATGAGGTCGGCGCATCGCGGCGCGGCGTTGCCGGGGTCGTGCTGCGAGGCTCCCGTGGCAGGTCAGGCGCTGCCGTGCCCGTGCCCGTGGCGGGGAGGTTGTTGTCACGTTGTCACGTTAAAAGGCAGTGAGGCCACCCGGCTGTTACCCGCTCTGCGCAGAGCCTGCCCAGAGCCCTGCGCTGGCGTCGCTCCGTGTTGTGGTGCGGGTTTTAGGCTTTAGTCCGGGCCTTCCCTCAGCGCGGATGCGTTTGTATGTCCCTCCTTACAAATCCGTAACTCAGGTGCACAAAGTGTACTGCTCTGTCAGAGATTGTGCCTCGATATTTACGTTTTTAACACCCCCCCAATTTTCATAATTTGCTCTTGAATACGTTTTGACAATACAAGCCACTTCAATAATACGCAATACATATGGGAATAAATATGTACATAGCCTTGTTATTCTCCAAAAATAGGAGACCTTCTTTGTCATACCTATTTGCAACTTGCTGGACGGAGGCGTGGTTACTTTCCTGTTCAAGGGACTACCTAAAAATACCTTTTTTCCTTCTCCTCTCTCATTCCCTTTAAACACGCTTTAGAGAAGATTGCTGTCTTCTATGTGAAAATTCATAGGTCAAGGTGTCATCTAGTTAGCAATTTAAATACAGTTCATCTTTCCTGCTGGCAGGTGTGAGAATAACAGCAATAGTTCATACTGCTGAGATAAAAACATTGTGTCAGTTTTGTTTACATTTTTTTTGGTTACAGTGTCAGCTTTTGTTTACAGAAATATACAGGCTTCATTTGTTTATTTCCTCATTCTACAGTTTTGTTTTCCTGTTTATAAGAATAAAAGCTTGCCCAGGAGAAGGATCTGCCACTGCCTAAAATAGTGTAGAACACCAGCTAAGCAAACAAAAAAACCACAAGCCCGCCCACCACCTTAGGCTAGGCAAGACCACTTACAGAGGTTTGGATGTGTAGGGAGTGAAACGTGCATGATACGTTTTGTATAGATGCAGTTTAATTAGGACACCCACATGGTAGAACTCTGCGCTCAGGGATGCTGATGTTTCAGCAAGAGCCTTAGTGAAATATTTGTGCCTTACAATGAACAAATTAATGGCAACTGTTACCATTTTTTTTTGGTGACAGTTAAAAGAAAAAAAATAATCAAATGATGACTTATAAAAAAATAATTCTAATGTTACGATATAATGTTATTAGAACACTTCCCATAGGATGGAGGGATTCTTAAAATTTATTTCCACAAAATTTTCAACTGAGAAATGTGCATTTCAATTGACTTCTGCTGTAGCCGCATGCCACCTGTTTTTAATGGTATATATTTTATGCATTGTTTCAGGAATATGGTATTCAGCTGGATGTTTCTGAACAGCATTTCTATGGGCTTGGTGTTCAATCTATCAGTTCAGAATGGCAAAGAACCCTAATTTTCAGGAAGCTGGTCATCTGCCAACAGGCTACGTCCACTGTAGATCTTCAGAGACATTTACTGGTAAGTGTACTGATGTATCTTCTTGAGATTTTTAGTTTAAGGGTTTAGTTACATGCTATTTTAACTGTCACATCATGTGTATTAATATTGATTTCATATGTGTATTAATAAATCATCCATTCCTAGTATATTGTTCTTTGTACATAGCTAAACTTATTCCTGCTGTTCTGTCAGAGGCATACCTTTCTGAGCAGAATGTAGAACATTAGCACTACAGTGCTTAAGAACTGGAATGTACTTGTGGATGACTACTGCATAACTTTACGTATGTCTGAAGACACAACACTTTTGGTACTAAATTTTTATTTATAATGCTCTCATTGAGTTACATGGTAAATAGAGATAACATCAGTCGTTTTTGTTTTTTAAAGTTCTTTCACAACAGAAGGGTTGGCGATAACTGTTATGAGAATTCCATGTACTTGTTTTTTCTTATTTTGTATCCCTGAATTCATGCCACGTGGATTATACATGTATTATTATATTTGTGCATATTGGATAAATAGGGCCAATCAGGTCCCCAGATATGCAGAGGTAGTTATTAATATGACATCAAGAAGCTTGTTGGTGGTGATGGTTTTAGATTAAAGTTAGAATTTACTTTTTTAATGACTATGCGTTGTGGAGGTCTCCTACAGTCCGTGCAATTCCAGTAAAAGCATTAGTGTGATATATTGATTTAGTTAGCATCTTTTTTTTTTTTTTTCTCAGTGCTTTGAAGCAGTTATCACTGGGAGCTGTTCATGCATAAGTCAATGTGATCTAATGCATTGCTGTAGCTCAAATTTTAACTTTTTTTTTTTTCTTTCTTTCTGTGTTACTATGACTGTTACATACAAGTAAGACTGTCTGTGAAATACCACGGAGCTATGTGTATGAAACACCTAATCGTGAAAATTGGGGACATTTGAGAATCAGTTAATTGATGGTGTTCAAAATTAGAGGAAGACTTTCTCCTTAAAGATCATCTTGAGTAAAACTTTTTTTTTTTTTCTTTTTAAATTAGGGAGGCATTAATATAAAAGCAGTAACTTTTTTTTTTTTCCCCTTAAAGCATTTCAAGGTCCTTTCAGCACTTTCTCTCTGGTGCCTCATATTGTAGATGGTAGCTTGACTCTCTTATGGACAATCCCAAAGCTCTGTAGAACAAAGACTTTCATATTATTAGAAATATTATATAGAAGTAAAAGGATTAAAAGTATAGAAAATTAATGTTAGAAAACAAATACTATTTTCCTCTGATGTATTATTTGGCTTATGTTGCAGTACTGAATTGCTTTTTTCTTGATGGAACAGAGTAAATTAATGATATTTGTAACTAAATTCTAAATGTCAATGCTTCTCTTTTTTTAAAGTCTTGATTAAAATTAAAAACAATAAAAAATCCCCCAAACAGTTGTAGCTAAACGTTATTGCATATCAATCCTTTCACCTGTTGTGAAGCTGAAGGAAATGGTGACCAGGCTTTCGGGGTTTTATGGGTTTGCATCAAACCATAAAACTTTGTTTTACTCTTGGTGCTTGTGAACACTTCAGATGAGCAAACTTAGAATTCTTCCCAACCCTAGTGTCCTTC